AGGTGCTGACGTCATTGCAGTACTTGGAATAGGAATAATAATTTCTGTAGCTAGTCATAAGACAGTCAGCCATGAGAAGTAGACCTGAATCTTCTCACCTTTGTCTGACCCTTTGTAGGCCTTATGAAGACATCATAATTTGAGATTGATAAACAGAAATAACAGTTTGGCAAAACTGTGATCGTACTGGCTTGTCAAAGGCTGATCTTCTAAGATTTCAGAAGCTCAGTGCTGGGCCTGTTGGGACATCGCTCGGAATACCAGGTGTCACTGGGGGGTACCAGTGGTCATTATGTCCTTAGGCAAGGCACAGTTGGGTGAACAGTTTGCCTAATATGAATGTAATGTGTGCACAAGTGTTCGTCGTGGTTGGAAGGGTCGATGGCGCAGATGTCCACAGCTGCCCTGGGTCAGTCTGACCCGGGGCAGCTGTGGCTACTATATGGTCATTTACCACTACAGAGTGTGGAGCGAATGAATAATGCAATGTCAAGCGCTTTGGGTGTCTTGAAAGATGTTATATAAATCCAATGTTTAATTAATTAAATTATTTATGTATTAATTAATTAATTTATTTATTTATTCAAAACATAATATACACTGATACTGCAGCTACTCTTTATTTTCATCCAAAGCCATTACTAAAGAAACATAATTCACATTGTGGGTGGGGACAACAAATAGGTGCAACTAGATATGTTCAAAGCAATCAAGTCTTGAATGTCTCCATTTAAGGAAATATTACTGTCAAAACAGAATGTAGTACTTCTAATGATTTACCATAATTGACCTCCATTAAAAAGTTCCTGATCATAAGAAAATTAATTTCAGTTTATTATCTTACATTTGGCCATTGTCATCCATTTGCCACACTGCTGACCATGTACACAATCCCAGAGGAGGAGGAGATGATTGAGGTCTCAGGGCTTGTGACAAGAGCAGCACTGACGACATCACTATTACTGATTCGATAAGGTGATTCGATTAGAGGGTTATGGTGGTGGTTTGACCCGTAACTAACTGAGATGTGACGTAGGGAGCAGTGACAATAGCTACCCCAGTGTATGCACCATGACTAACTGGGCATCATGCTGTGGCAATGTATAGGGCCTTGCCTCGCTGTAGAGACGTACCGTTTGATCTAATGCTGTCTCTACATCCGCCTCTTCTGCTATCCCTAAAGATGTATTTACAAGAATGTATTCCTGAAAATAGTATAAAAGGAAATGCACCAACATGAATCTGTTCCTACAGATTTTACAGGTATAGCACTGAGTGGATGTTCCAGGTGCGTTATTTCTACAGTTATTTGATAGACATTCACTAGAGAAAAATGTGACAGCTCACAGCCTGTACCGGTAAATTTGAAGGGTATGAATTGAGAGCAGTGACCTCACAGTGTCTTGTTTTGTCTCCCTCACACCAGCTGGACCTGTCAGGTGACTAGTCCACTTGTGCCTCAGCCTGTCAGCAGGTTCTGCCCTTTAAGAAACTTTTACTAGGACTTTATTGCCCCTCATTTAGTTGTTAGTAATGCATATATTTAGAAAAATAATTGTTTGATGTGCCGGAATACTGGATTGCTACAAATATCCTATAAACCTGTGAGATAATAGTGGACTCTCATTGGCGTTTAGTTCACCCAAATGATTTGAATTTGATATTTACTTGGAATTTACATGATTTAGGATGGAGATTGTTTAAACTGCTTTAATATTTCTGCATGTTCCAGAATATATCCATGCATCAAAAACTTGGTGTCTCACTATGGGCCAACATTTAAAAGCCATTATTATTTGAAGGACTAAAAACAAGGCACTTGACTGTTGCCTTGGGCTAGTATCAGGTACATCAGCTGTCACAGAAACCATGCTAACGAATGTCGAAGCAGCTTAGGTAAGCCGTGTTGACAGCAATACAGTGACACAGTGAAAACTCATCTGCCAGATGGCTCAGGGGAGGGCTTCAACCAAGGAGCACTTTAATCAATCTGATTAAGGGGAAATGCTGTCTGTATTTTTAGCCACTCCAAGGCAGAGCAGTGGCCATTCATTGAATTTGGTGTCATTAGCTCTCATGTTTATCTCGTGGATCAGGGGATTTATATACATGCACTAATGTAAGAAGTTGAGTCAGGTCTCTGTCAGCTAAATATGTTACATTTTATTCAGTACACTTGAATAGTGAACTTCATCTGCACTTGTGACTGACCGGATGCAGTGAAATGTTGTGAAGTCAGGCAAATTCCCCAAAGACTAGTTTCCACACAGTTTGGGAGATTCCACAGAATTATTTTTAAACCTGAAATACCCCCAAAGCCAGAAAAGTTTTGTTCCGACTTTGACAACTGTGTTATTCTAGATAAATATTGTTATTGTCACTTGCACTAATTCCAGCCCTCCCTGATGAATGCTAAATATGGAGGCTGGAGCGAAGAGTTGCTCCCTCTCAAACTGACTTCTGTTTCCATATAGTACAGAGTACCAGCCTCTTCCTCTAACACCTCCTGCCCAAAACATGTGGCGTGTGACCAGCTGTCTCTAATGTTCTTAGAATAATTACTATACAAGTAATGAGCTTTGGTTGTTTATGGATATGAAGAAAAACTTTACTTTGTCACATTGGGTTTAATATGAGTGTTTGATTTATACCAGTGTATTTTGGCTGCCCTGATTGTGGGACCTAATTTTACACAAGATCATTTTTTAGTCTGACCCTCTTTTTTGCTCCATTCATGTGACAATAGCAAATTGGTCATTGTTGGTCCCTATTTCTTATAGTCATTAGACAAGATGCGTGACTTACCTCATTTAAACCTTCATTTAGAAACATAATTTTAAGCATGTACAGCACAGACTGCAGCATGGAAACCCACTTGACTGTACTCTAGCATTTTTTTCGTTTTATTTTACACCTTACAAGTGTTCATCAAAGCCGGTATTTTGAGTGTGCTGTCAGACTGGTGTGGTGCACCACAGTGGCGCCACAGTGGAGTTGGGTCACTGTGCACTGCCTGTGCGTGTCTGTGGATGCAGGTGTGTGCAGGCCTCTGGGACCCACAGCTACTGCATCACAGATGTGTTTGCTCTAATGTGAGATAGCCAACGGGGAATTGCCTGGAAAAGCCTGTCCATATGAGGCAATGTTCTCCTGTGTTTTGTAGTGTATTACTCATATATGTGCAATAAATAATAAACATGAAAGATATGGAAAGTCAAAAATCACATTTTATATCAAGCCACAATGTATAGATTGCACTGCATATAGAACGAGAATCTATCACAATAAAGTCTTATGTGCTTTAAATTATCTTAGATATTGTGGTTCTTTTAAATCCATGTATAAAAGTACACATAACCTCTTTACACAGTATATAACAAGCATGCACACAACACACGTGTTTGGTTCCTTTGGGTTTTAAGGATGCTTCAGTAATCAAACCATGTGTAATGACTCTACAGTGACCTCAGGAGTACAGTGTGTTTCAGTCAAAGCTGTTTATTCCACATTCTAAATGTGGTCAGTGCTCAGGCTTTGTGCTGCTGCTTTATAGACCTGTTCTTTCTATTCAGTGGAAATCATGCATTACAAACAACATCAACATCGATTTTTGTCCTCAGTTGAGACTTGTGTGTTGTACTTCTGGTATAATCATATTTTCTAACTTCTTTTGAAAATATTTTTAATTAATTTTATTGTATTGTCATGTGACGTTTGTGCAATGTTTTTTATTATTATGATTATTTTGTTATTTTGTTTTGTATTTCAACTTGATGCTGACTGATGGCCTGACTGATACATGCAATAAAAGGACTCGTCTATTCTGATCATATACAGTATATTTTATTGACATAGTTTTGTGTATTGAATTAAGAACAATTTCAGTATTCATGGTGGACACATTTTTACTTTTTTCTTTAATTCTGTTCTTGAGGAATGGTGATAATGCCACATTTTATTGTTGAACAGAATTTGGATAGGAATTGGCTATTGTTCCTAAAAAGGCAACAATATTGAATCATTGGCATTAGCTTTTATCTCTCTGAAAAATAAACAGTTGAACTGAATATTGAGATAAAAAAAGATTTTTACTCAGTCATAACAGTATTAGGAGCGTGATAAAATAGGAATGAGCCCATTCATTCATAAATATTGATTCTGAGTAAGCTCATTAGAGATGTAAGTTGACTGAGGGCTTTTTGTCCATCCCCTGCCACTCACATTTCTTGACCACTGTTAGTCCTATGTGTATTTCCTAGCAAAACTGTATTGATTTCTTCTTTGTTGAGCTGAAGTATCTTTGCCACTGGTCACATATTCCATTTGTCAGCAGATCAAATTCTGCCTATAGGCTCTAAACACACTCTCATTTCACTAATGCCTGCATTTTGTTGGTGATGTAAGTCAGTTCAGGTGACAAAGTAGTGTAAATGAACCAAAAACAACACTGATGCTACTGTATGTTTTAATATTATTGCAAATGATCAGTGCTTTAAGTGCGTCAAATCAAAAAGTTGTTCTTAAAACTCTTAAAGACACAGTATATAACTTTAGCAAATAAATAAATAAATGAATAAATAATAAATAAAAATAAAAAAAGAGACTAAAATAGAAGTTTTTTTTTTTATTATTTTGGTTGTGTTTTTTGCACTAAAAATCTTGGATGGCATAAAACATATCTATCTACACTGAGAATTTTGGTATGGTTTGAATGGAATGTGCCACTTCTGAAAGTTATATACTGTATCTTTATCAAAACCGTTACTCAGTGTTGAAAATATCATTAACTCTGAAAGTTCTGTGACCTCTTATTTATGTTAATAGTTTTGCTTATTTTTTATGCTAACATCTAATCTTTTTTGAGAAGTCTCTCATAACAGTACATTTTCTGCCTAAAAAATTTATTCTTTTCCAATTTTGTATACACTGGTTTCCATTGACTCTCTTTCTCCTCTCCCCCTCCCGCCCTGTCCTTCCTCTCTCCCTCTCACTGTCTGTAGAAGTGTGACTGCCTGCTCAGTCTGGAAGCCTATTCAGCCGACCAGAAGCGCCGCGTGTGTCAGTGCCTGAAGGACAACATTGACAAGCAGCTTCAGCTTTACAGGAGGGAGCCCCTAGTTCCACATTTTGAACAGGTAAGCTTAATATCCATTTCTACATATTTTGCTGTACATATTAAGAACTTTTTATTTTCATTGAAGGGACAATTTAACGCTGTGCACACATGAACACATGGCAATGCATATATTTGTGCATACCCCCATAACAGATGCTCCGTGAACTGCACACACATTTGTATAGCACCTTCCTGCTGTTACGTCACATGCTATGAAAGCTTTTTCCACTTTGTAATACTTTGAAAAACTTTATAATTTGCACAGTTGGTGTGGTTTAAATATTTGGAAAATATTTGGAATTCATATGTACCTTGTGAATTCAAGAAAATGCTGAATGTTCATGCTTGTTGTATTAATTTCTTTCACTCACTCTTAACACATTACCATAAAGGTGCAAAGTGCTGCTGAGTTTGCATTGTAAGTGATCTGGAAGTGCTTGCAGGCTTTTGATACTCTGATTGGTTGGCTTCTAGGGAGAGAGATTACTGTAGCATTGTGAGGTCATTCTGAGCATTACCAAGGGAAATCAATTCTACTGATTTTTGTATTTTCTTGTCTGCTCATCATAATTGCTACTTTGAGGGGATTTCGACAAGAAGTAATCGTCTAAGTAACTATTCTTATACTTTTGAAAGGAGATTGTTCTTGTTAGTACAATAATTTCAGAATGCGGAAAACATTCACCCTTGTTGTGCCAGTGGGCTTTAAAGGTGCTCCATGTAACTATTCTTGGTATCCACTATATCTGGCCATGTCTATGGACATAATATTGCTTATTGTGGAATGTCCCACAGTATGGCTTTCAACCAAATTATTGCTCTAAAATATATCTCATCTTACAGTGAGTGAGACCATCTTTCCGCAGATCTGACCTGTATCTTTGGCTGGTGGTGTCAGTGTTCTTTCCACAAATACAGATATGTTTAATGCCATAATGTGGGACATTCCAGGCAAAGCAACAACATCTCCATAGAGACAAACAGAGGGCATATCCCCCACCAGAAAAGTTACATGGTGTACCTTTTAATAAACTTTCATTGTTGTTGTCTTTCACTCTGAGCAATTATAACAACATTTACTGCAAATGTTTGATTATTTAAGATACTAGTATACATGCCAAGTTGGTTTGTACACAGGGCCTAGAATTTTGTGCTACAACCCTATTTAACTGATGCAAATTTTTAGGCATCCGGGAATAAGATATTATCAACAAATTAAACTAAATTAACTGAACTTTTGAACCCCTGATTCAAACACAATTTTCAACCTTTTTATCCTTTGATGTAATGCTGTGCCATAGAGGACCATGTTTTGCATTGAACTCTTCTTAAAAGAGTACATTTTCTTACACTAATCCAGAATTTCACACTGAATTAGCCCCAAAGAAGGACATTAATATCTGTTTGCTTGCATGTTTTACACGGTATAGCGTCTTTCTGGAGTGAGATAACCACACAAAGCTACTCCTACTTTAATTTACCATTTAATAGAAAGCTGAATGGTGCTCCTCAGGCAAAAATGCTTAATCATAACATTTTACATGAGATAAATGAGTTCACTTTTGATTGTGTTTCTCCTGAGTACCTCAGAGGCAAGTGCTTTGTATTCAAGTCCAAGTGTGTTTAATTTGAAGTAAATTAACCTTTTAAAATGTAGACAAGAGGAAAATTACTTTGTACTACATTTGTGTTGTGTCAGGCCATTTCATGATGTAGCTCTATGTAATTTTCACTGGCGACCTTTTGGGGGAAAAATAAGAAACAATGAGATTTCCACAGTGTTTGGGCATGAATGATTTATGTATGACTGAGTAAATTATAGACTCAATAACTTAGGCCATAAATGAAGGTTTTGTTCCTTTTAGTTACAGTTTAATCAATACAAGAAGTGTTTTTGTAAACCAAGTGTATCTTCCTCGCTCTGTGCGTGTGCCGGTGCACGTAAAGGTAGCACTAAGTAGTCTTTTGAAAATTGAACTGCTCATTTCCCTTGTGTCAGAAACAGCAATTGCTGTCCTGTGTGGCCAGCTCAGTAAATCCTCTACTCAGCTGAGACGTGCAGTTTACTCAGTAGTTCTGTTCAAAGAGTGCAACATAAACGTGAAAACACTGACAAATCAAAAATATGACATGAATTGATTTTGGTCCTTAATAGTTTCCAAGGGGGTCCTAGGGTCTGTCAGCAGCTGGCATAGTCCCGCTTCTCCGCAGTCGCCTTGAATCCAGCACTTTGATCATAAAAGTGAGCGTCTTTTTAACGAACTCTCTAATCCTCCAGTCCCTCTGTGAATGGTGCACGATAATAGTCTCCCACACTCTTATGTACAGACTGCAGTACCTTGTGATGTGGGCATATGAGAACCACAGGATCCAAAGTGAGTCAAGGGACACCCTGTATATAAACTAAGGTTGTTATTATTGTATATAAAGAAAAAGTAATTGTTGTCCTGTGATTCTTAGATTTGTAAATTTGAGGCAGGAGACTCTTGATGTCTAAGGCAGTAGACGTTTATTTACCATCACTTGTATGGAACCCAGTGACATGAACACTTCAAATAGGCTCGCTTCTCATTGATCTGACTTGATAAAAAAGTTCAATGCCCTTTTAACATTCACTACTAAGCAAGAATATCTTAAGAAAAACTATAGTGCACCTTTAATAAAGCCAGTACAGGCCAAAAGGCTTCTTTTCAACACTATTATAATATCTGAACTGCGAAGACTTAAGTATTTGTTCTAAATTAATTAAAATTTAATTATTGTGACATATCATAGTGTAGTAATTGTGTCAGGATGGAGATCCATTGTAAAGTCTATGCCAAATCAATAGCTGGACCACTGCTTACCAGGAGACAGACCATCAGTCCAAGGAAAGAAGAGAAGTGCATACCTGATTTCAAAGATATATTATACTGTACCATGTAAACAGTGACCTTTAACTTATAGTTTACCAGTATGCAGTGGTTTGTACAAGTGAGCTACTTCCTTCCTTGAAAAGCTTCCGGTACATTCTTGTCTGGCCAGCATTAGCCTCTAAGCTGCTGGAAAAATAAATTGTTCAGCTGTACACACACTTAGACACACAGCTTCCAAATGGGAATTTAAGCAGGACTGGCCATTTTGCAAACGACAGGCGCAGTTCATCAGATGCAGTTAGCATTTGATGGGAAATACTGCACTGCTCTCAACATATGCAGGGAAGAAAGCCACAATATATGCCTCCATAAATAAATATAATTAGACCAACGAAAATGCTCTCATGGACAATAAGACTTTTACAAAATGGCTTCATGTTGATGTTAATGGGCAGTTTGCTGGCTGTTGTTGTCAATAGTGACTGAAGTAGCATTTTATATTTTCTGTTTTGCGTGTCGTACTGTTTGACAAAGTGTTTATTGGTGATGGGCTTAAATAATAGAATGGACTGTTGTTCTCCTCCTCTATCTGGCAGACACATGTGAACTGGATCAATGAGGGGAGAAACTGTGGACAGAGAGGAAGTGTCAGTGAGTGTGCAGCGTTTGATGAGCTGCATCTCACTACGAGAGCACACTGCATTTCAAACAGAAGCACAAATTAACAATAAGATGCTTTCTTCAAATTCACATGCCTGATTCATCACAATCATGAATAACTGGTTTGGTCAGTAACAAAAATAACTACTTGTAAATGCATGTAGTACATCTTTTTGTTAACTTTTATAGCTGTATAATTTTGAAAAGTTAAGCCAGTACAATTTAGTGCTTGTCCCCTTGCTTGCCTTTCTTTCCTTTACATATCTTCTAGAGCCTTCTGTGCCTTAGGTGTTATTTATCCAATAGAGCTGAGAGACAATGGTTAGTTATTACATGGAGAAATACACAATAGACATCCACTTTAGGCTTTAAGTCAAGTAGGAAACAATATTTAAATACGGGACTGTCAAACTACTGATGTGCAACCAGAGGCTCAATTTGGAACTTAAAAAATGCATTTATTCTCATTGTTTGGTATGCAAGTTAGTGCTTAGTCTCTCAATTTGAATTCATCACGTTACTTTTACTTTCTTATCAGAACAGATTCAACAGAACAATTTATACATCGGCCAGTTCGTTAACGCAGTTTTCAAGTTCATGCTAAATGCTAGTTTAAAAAGTTAACACGCACTGGGCTACACATGCAGTGACAAAGAATGAAGCGATGATTCGCTGAGTAATTGCCCCATCAAGAAACTATTTGACAAGAGACAGCAGATTCTGGAAAGGCAAAGAACAACCAGTCAGAGAAAAACTGAAACTCCCAGCAGAGCCTGGGGTTATGAATTATAAAATTACACTGCGACAGATGACAAGTGCAAAATGGAAATTGGAAGTTTCTTGGAAGTGTCATGAAAAACACCTCAGAAAGTCACGGAGACACCGATAATGTCGGGGGGAAGCATACTGGGAGGAACCATGTTTGGGTACAAGGAGAATGAGAGGGAGATATAGACAGTTCCATAAGGCTTTGAAGCACAGTTCAGTCACACACATTCAAGAGGAGAGAAAAAGTGTGTGTAGTTTGATCTTTTCAAAGCAGAGCCAATGAAGAGGGAAACTAGTCCATGGGATTTTCTTCTGTCATCTATTCAGACAATAACTGTCCCATACTAAAAATATGTGATACTCAACAACTAAAATTTGTATCTCTTAATAATCCTGACAATTTGAATGGCAAGTGAAGTCATACACAAACATCATAAAGAAACATCACCTGAACTAGAGTACCCTTTGTGTTCTTTTTTTTTTTTTTTTTTTTTTTTTTTTTTGATTAAGTATGTGTTAATATTGTCAATACTCCTTCTTTGGGAGTGACAATGTAAATGTCATATATCCCAGATTCACTGGTTAAGCCTCAACAAATCATATCTAACCAGAATATTAAATTAACATTAAATCATGTGAGGCCGTTTTGTGATAACACTTATTTTTAGAGTAACTTAATCAAACATGTAAACATACTGCAATGGATGACCCTATAATAGCGTTTCTGCCAATAGCC